TCCGAATCATGTCAATGCGATCTTACAGGTTCAAAGAGTCACCAATGCGATCCATACACTGGATACTGTCAATGTGTTGAAAATATTGTTGGTGCTAGGTGTGATCGGTGTGCTCCCGGCACTTACGGCTTCAGTAAGTTTGGATGTAAGCGGTGTGATTGTAATAGCATCGGAAGTCTTGACAACTTCTGCGATGCTACAAGCGGGCAGTGTAAATGCAGAGCTAATACTTACGGTCGAGCATGTGATTTATGTCAACCAGGTTATTTCAACTTTCCAAATTGTCAACAATGTGATTGCAACGGACATGCGGTTGAATGCGATGATAAATCTGGTGCTTGCAAAGAATGTAGAGATTACACAGAAGGTCATCGTTGCGAGAGATGTGTTGATGGGTATTATGGTGACCCCAGACTTGGTGTTGATATTCCTTGCCGACCATGTCCTTGCCCAGGTATTAAAGGTGATCCCAATAAAAGTAGCCACGCTGACCGCTGTGAGTTAGATCCAGAAACAAAAGATGTTGTTTGTGATTGTAAAGAAGGATATGCTGGGCTTCTCTGTGATGTTTGTGCTGATAACTATTACGGTGATCCAGTAAAAGGCACGTGTGAAAAATGTGAATGCAATGAGAATATAGATGTCACAAAACCTGGAAATTGCGATCCATATACTGGAAAATGCTTACAATGCTTACACAACACAGCCGGTGAACATTGCGAAATTTGTGACGAAGGATATTATGGAAATGCTTTAGAGAAATCATGCTACCAATGTAACTGTTCTGAATTGGGCACAAACTTTACAACTGGAAACTGTGATCGTGTAAGTGGACAATGTCCTTGCTTCAAAAATGTTATGGGAATAAACTGCGATCAATGTACAGAAAACCACTGGAGAATAGCTCTTGGTACAGGATGCGATCCTTGTGAATGTGATCCTATTGGATCAGTGTCTCCTCAGTGCAACCCATACATAGGTAATTGTGATTGTAAACCAGGACACGGTGGTAGGCAATGCGATCAGTGTCAAGAGAATCACTGGGGTGATCCGAATATAGAATGTCATGAATGTGAATGTAATTTATACGGATCAGTAACTCAGCAATGTATGCGTGAAAACGGATCATGTATCTGTAAACCTGGAATTGGTGGTTATAATTGTGATATTTGTGCCAGAGGTTACCTCGGTGACGCTCCTCAGTGTTATGCTTGCGGTGAGTGTTTCGACAGCTGGGACCGAATAATCGGAGATTTGCGCAGTCAGACTGAATACGCCATTGGGAACGCTAGTAAAATAAAAATTGTAGGAGCAACGGGAGCATATACGAGAGACTTTGAAGAAATGACTAAGAAATTAGCGGACGTTGAAAATACTCTTCAAAGTGCCAAGCAAGGTCAGAGTACAGTAAAAGATTTGTTGTCAAATATTACAAGCTTACAGAATCAATTAGCTCAAGCGGACAAAAAAGTAAAAGAGAGTAATGACAATCTTAATGATATAACATCCAAAATTAATCTGGGTAATGTAACATTAGACGGATTAAGATTGAGTATTGAAAAATTAAAATCAAAGACACTTGACTTAGGTAACAACGCAACCAAATTACAAGAAGCCAATTTAGAAGGTGCTCTTAATTTAACCCGTGAAGCTAAACAAAGAGCATCTAAGGCAGCGGACGACGCTGAAAACGTACAAACGGTTATTGCTGATACGGATCGTCAACTTAAAAATACCGACAGATTAATAGAATTACAGTACTTGAATTTTAATAACACACTAAGTGAAAACGATAAAAAGCTGAATGATTTGCAAGAACAGCTGTCGAATTTGGAGTCGCAGATACCAAAAATAAATGAAAAAATGTGTGGACAGGAAAGCGATACTTGTGATATCTGCGGAGGAGCCGGTTGTGGAAAATGTGGTGGGATATCGTGTGACCAAGGTGCTATAACAAAAGCGGAACAAGCATTAGATTTTGCAAACAAAACCGAATACAGAATAAAAGATCACGAACTTAATGCAGAGGATCTATTTAGATCGATTTCTCAAGCGAAACAAGATACCATTGCAGTGCGTTCCCGAGCGAAAAGTTTACTAGACGAAGCTAAAGATTTTAAAATATCTGCAGAAAGAGTAACCAATGAAAGCCAGGAATTAACAACAGAATTGAAAGAATTTTTATCGAACACTTCTAATACTCCAGCAGATGTAAGGACTTTGGCCAATGACATCTTGAACTTATCTATTCGCATTGAACCAAAAGAAATCACAGAACTATCGCAACGAATTAATTCTACTGTTTCACAGCTTACAAACATTGAGAATATTATAACGGAAACAAAACCCGACTTAGAAAGAGCGAAATCTCTCAAAACAAACGCGACTGCAGTTAGTAATGAAGCTAATTTGACTCTTGGAATGGCCAATAAAGTTTTAGAAGCCTTAGATGAAGCTCAAGCCGCGCAAGATGCTGCAGAAAATGCAATCGACAAAGCAAATAATGACATCGAAGCAGCTAAAAGTGATTTAATACCTATTGCATCGGAAACCGAACAAGCACAGAGAAAAGCGAAAGAAACAATGGACGAGGTCGAAAAACTACGTTTGCGACTCTCGGATTTGCAAAAGAATAATTTAAAAATAGAAAGTGATGCAGAACAAGTTAAACAAGAGGCCAACGACGTAGTTAATAGAGCTGAGGGAGCCGAACAAAAGGCCAGAGAGCTTAGACAAAACTTTAAGCAGACAAATACGTCGCTTGCCGAACGTGCGAACCAAACATTAAACTCTCGAGAACAAGCCCAACTGTTGCTAAACCGTGCAACAAAACTTGCTAGCGACACTCAAATGCAATTAAAACTGTTGACCAATATGGAAGAATTGTATAATGATCATAATGAACAACTTAATACACTGGAGAAAGAAATTGGTGACCTTAACACTCAAATGAACTATTACTTGTCCGAAATCACAAAGCGGTCTGACTACTACAGATCGTGCACAACATAAACAACAAGACATTTGCGGTGATTTTGTGTGCCATGTTATTTTGATCCCACTACATTTGTTTTTTTTTTTTATGTTTAGCAAAATGAAATACTTAAAAAGAGATTTACTTAAATATTCATGTTTGGTTTAAAATAATTTTATCTTTGATTTACACTACGTAATACTAGTAATATGTTTTTTTGTGCATTTTATTTATAATAATACAATGAATTTCCTACTGTATGTAACATAAACTTGAGATGAATGTTCAAATGTCAGAAGTATGTAAAGATGTACTTACTTTAACCAAATGTGATTGTAATTTAAACCCTGTCTTTCTATCAATACTGAAATTAAAATAGTTCTGATTCTGAAATCTTATGCTGGAAATGTTCAATATTTCTTACTATTTAGTGTAGACTTCTTCCGGATCGAAGTTATTCCAAAGAATTACATATAGTTATTGTAGAGAGAGTTGTATTAACTATTAAGTTTTAAGATAATAGATAATGTCACGTACTATTAAAAAACAGTGTATGTGTAAGCGATTAGATATATCTTGCATTTATAACTCTTTTATTGATTTTGTAAAAATAATTTATCATCTTGCCCTAGTGTAACTATTAACATTTTACTTGTATTTGTAATATAGATGTTTTGTTTTTGATACATTTTGTCAGCAGTAACAGCTTAATGTACGAGGCATTTATACTTAATTGTAGTTTATAATTAAAGTTGTCCAACTCATACTAGTGTTTTATTTCATTGTTATACCTTCTTAAATCAATCTTATTACTAAAGTATTTAAAAAAAAGATTGTAAAAACCTGTCATTCATAGTATTATGCAATATATTATTAAATTAGCTATCTTGATAAAATTGTTGAAGCTAGGTAAATGTTTTTAAAGTCTTTAAAACCATACACCCATGGTATTTTACAAAAAATCAATCAAAAAAATGAGACCCACCTGCAAGCATTACCTTTCGGATAAAAAAAGAATTATCAAAATCGGTCCAGTAACGGCGGAGTTATGCCCTAATACACATAAAATAATAATAAAAAAAAACGTACAGACGAATTGAGTACACCTCCTCCTTTTGGGAAGTCGGTCAAAAAGTTGTCATGATAATGAAAATTAGTAAATGTTTCCAATTTGATTCGTTTTTGTTTCCACTAAATTAGAGCAGATTGCGCGAGGAGCAATTATCGCGATTAGTGATGACCTAATGATGAATTTGCTTACACTTCATTAAATATACTCAGTTTTTGCAGAATAATGAAATATGAAATGACAAAATTAACGACTTACTTTCACACACAAGTAAATGAATAAAAAAATTACATATATTCGGTATGATTTTTTTTTAGTTCTCCTTGGCTTCAAATAGCTCCACATCAAAAACAACTAACTACTGAGGGAGTAAAATTTGAATAAAGGGTAAAAACAATACGCGGAGGAGGGGAAGCGTAATAGAATGGCGTCGTATTTCAAGATTTAAAGCATAGTACAAGCTTTTATAGTAGGCAATTAGTAATGACAATACTCCTATCCATTGGCTTGAAAAAAATTAAAAGACTCACATTTAAAATTTGTACTTTCCGCAAAGACACATTCCTTCTGAATTTTAAAAAGAAATCTATAGGATCAAGAATAGTTCAGTTTTTATCTATACTTCTATACTATTTACTTTTTACTATTATTATAATAAAGCGTAAACACACCATTCTTTGTTGCCTAAGATGTCAGCAATTACAGCTTATTTTTGAATAATTCTTTTTTTAATGAAAAGCCCTACACGTTAGTCACGCTTTAGGCTATATATTTTCACGATATTAAACTTAGGGGTAAATATTTTGGATAAAAACCCTAATGTGGGAAAGAGACCCAAGGTTGCTGCCAACATCATGAAATTAAGATTGCAAAGTTTTTCCATGTCATGTTATTTGACATTTGCTATTGATAATTTGACAAATGTAAATAATAAAATAAAATAATAATTTTATGCGGATGAAGCCGCACGGGAACAGCAAGTTCAGAATGAAAGCCATGTTCAAGATTGTATTTAATTTGTGATTCCAGATGGTTATACTTAGAACCAATTCTGAGTAATGACGACGGCGAGTTGGGTGCGAGATTCCGAAAGGTTGACCAGGGCTTCCGCCAGGTGTCGAGAATACTAGACTCCGACCCGCGGCTATCCGCCTTACTGCAGTCCGCGAGGCTGCAACCCACGTTAGACTCCATATCAGAACAACTAAACGCTTGTCAGTCAGCTTTAAATCAATATATCGATGTGAGCATCCCTATTTTAACTCTATTTGCTTTAATTTTAAACAAAGAGTTAAACGATTGCTTGTTGCCTAAGATACAAAACTACATTAACTAAGCAAAATGCAATTTAACTAAGAAGTTAGAACATTCCAACATTTAAGACCGATTTATCGTGTTATTGTAAATAAGAATAAAAATCCTGAAACTGGAATGGTTTAAAATTAGTTACATAATAAGATACCAACATTTTGTACTTTTACAGGTGAAACGATCAGTTTTCCCCAGACTATATTTCTTAAGTGACGATGATTTACTGGAGTTACTGGGCCAGGCTAGGGCCGGTGCTGAGGGCAGGGAGACTGTTATGCAATCGCACCTTAAAAAGTTATTTCCCGGTATAACTGGCGTCAAAGTGGGACCTTCTGGGTTGTCTATCACTGCACTGTGCAGCCACTACGGAGAGACATTCCAACTAGACCATCCTGTCGATATAGACTCTCCTGTTGAAGTAAGTCTGATTGTTAACTAATAAAAAAGATCTTAAATGAATCGAGGCTGCAACACTTCACTTGTTGCAGTTGTATTGTAGTAATATTATATGTACACAATTTATGTTTCACAGGTATGGTTAAAAAAATTAGAAAACGAGATTCGTTCGTCACTAAAGAACTTGACACTAAAATGCTTAGTGACCGGCAGTACTCATGCACAGGATCCATTCTCTTTGCCGACGCAGATTCTTTGTTTAGTACAGAACATTCGTTTCACTGAACAAGCAGAAAAGGCAATTACTACCAAGGAATTGCACAAATTGATGACGAGCGTAGAAAAAGAGAACGCCTCGTACGCAGCAGCGGAGATTGAAGATGAGAGTGAGAAAGAGAAGAGGCAAGCTGTAATACTACAGTGCACACACTATATGTCCGTAGTGCGGACTCTTATAGACAATAATATAACTTCCACTAGTGATTGGCTCTGGCAGAAGCAACTCAGGTAATTTAAATATTATTTAAAAATGCTAACAGTCTACATCGGTAATAATATGTTTGCAAGAAAAAAAGGTTTGCTTATTAGATAAGAGTCCAGACCAATGTTTGGCTGTGGATAATGTCTACTCAGTAATACAATAGCCAAGCACACAAAGCATTGCAACTATCATGAATACAATGTTGTAAGGCAAGGCACTTGTTATGTCTACGTCTGCTGTAACATAATTCTTAGATACAAGGCACTTTATAACGATTGTCATACATTTAGGATTTGTTGCAATTTTCAGATTTTACCTAAGAGATACGAAAGAAATAATTGCTGAAATGGGCCTGGCTAAAATATCATATTCGTACGAGTATCTCGGCGTTAACACCGGCCAGTTCGTACGCACTCAACTTGCTGACGAGTGCTTTTTGATATTAACACAGGTAAACTGAATGCAATTCAGAAAATTGTACATGTTTATGTTAAAAAATGAATAAAAAAACTTTTTTATTTTAGGCATCATATTTTGGCTCTATGGGCAATCCTTTCGGGCCAGCTGGGACTGGTAAAACAGAATCCGTGAAGGCGCTCGGGGGCCTCGTGGGTCGCCTTGTCCTCGTATTCAATTGTGATGAGGTAGATAATTATAAACACATTTATTTCACCATTATATTTGAAAATACTTCTAATAAATACGGTTTGTGTAAAAAGGCAATGGACGCGGAATGTATGGGTCGGCTGCTGACGGGGCTGGCGCTGTCCGGCGCGTGGGGCTGCTTCGACGAGTTCAACCGCTTGTCGTGCGACACGCTGGCCGCCGTGACGCACCAGCTCACCTCGCTGCTGGCCGCCATGCAGCGCTCCGCTGACGCCAGCGACGACACATACGCACTGCTCAATGGAAAACAAGTAAGTGCGAGAATGCATCTTAAAGTGACTCATTTGTTTAAAAATAATCTGCATGTTTACATGTTTGTATACAGACGTATCGTTTATCACAATAATCGCTTACCTAGTTGTCCGTTTATTATCATCAGTCTTATACATCAGTATAAAAATAATAAAATGTTGTCTTATTTTCATTTTATATTATTCAATAAAAGCTTTACTTTAATTCAGAGAGGAACATCTAAGCACGCTATAACGGTTACGTATATACTGTTTATCAGGTGAAGGTGTCCCCGTGGTGCGGCGTGGCGGCGACCATGAACCCGAGCGGGCGTGGGTACGGCGGGCGGCGCGCGCTGCCGGCGGCGCTGAGCCGCGTGCTGCGCCCCGTCAGCATGGCGCAGCCGCGCGGGGACCTCCTCGCCGCGCCGCTGCTCGCCGCGCACTGCCTCGCACATCCCCGCGCGCGCGCACAGGACCTGCACGACGTCTTCACTATGGCCAGGTGCCCACCGAACTGTTAAACAATCAGCCATACCAGAAAGTGGAGACAGTAAAAGAACAAGGAGATTAATTCAAGCTGAGATCTTGCAAAATACAGTTGTTAGGTTCTACAAATCTATATTCTGTATCTTACTTCTTTGAAAACTATCCACTAGTGCCCTTTTTATCTAGATTTAAACCCCATTAGACAAAGTAACATTTGATTATCGCCTGATCGAAAAGTCAAAAATGGAACTGACATAACATTCGATAAGTCACGCGCTTGTCACGTATTCATTCATATACTTTTGACACTTTTTGTTGATTCTACAAGCGACATCGCTAATCGAAAGTCACTTTATCTAGGGAGGTAGTTTGTTTATTGTGCTCTGTTGTACCAGCATGTTGCTGAGCGGGCAGCGGCACTACGACTGGGGCCTGCGCGCGCTGAAGGCGGCGGTGGG